AGAAGAGAAGAGAAGAGAAGAGAAGAGAAGAGAAGAGAAGAGAAGAGAAGAGAAGAGAAGAGAAGAGAAGAGAAGAGAAGAGAAGAGAAGAGAAGAGAAGAGAAGAGAAGAGAAGAGAAGAGAAGAGAAGAGAAGAGAAGAGAAGAGAAGAGAAGAGAAGAGAAGAGAAGAGAAGAGAAGAGAAGAGAAGAGAAGAGAAGAGAAGAGAAGAGAAGAGAAGAGAAGAGAAGAGAAGAGAAGAGAAGAGAAGAGAAGAGAAGAGAAGAGAAGAGAAGAGAAGAGAAGAGAAGAGAAGAGAAGAGAAGAGAAGAGAAGAGAAGAGAAGAGAAGAGAAGAGAAGAGAAGAGAAGAGAAGAGAAGAGAAGAGAAGAGAGGTGAAGAGAAGAGAAGAGAAGAGAAGAGAAGAGAGGTGAGGAGAGGAGAGGGGAGGAGAGGAGAGGCGAAAAAGAGGAGGAGAAGAGAGAAGAGACAATATACCTAGAGGAAGAGAGCGCGTTTTGAATCCTCTCCCCCAGCTGCTTGGGGTTGGCCTTGCGGGCCGTCTCCAGGAGAGCTGGGGACAGCAGAGCATGCACGAGGGGCGAGAGGGGCGAGAGGGGCGAGAGGGGCGAGAGGGACGAGAGGGGCGAGAGGGACGAGAGGGACGAGGAGGGAGGGCCGAGAGGGGTGAGAGGGGCGAGGAGGGTGGAAAGACGGAAGACACGGCATGTGGCACGTGGTTGCGGCATGGCATGTGGCACGTTGTTGTGGCATGGCATGTGGCACGTTGTTGTGGCATGGCATGTGGCACGTGGTTGTGGTATGGCATGTGGCACGTGGTTGCGGCATGGCATGTGGCATGTGGTTGCGGCATGGCATGTGGCACGTGGTTGCGGCATGGCATGTGGAATGTGGTTGCGGCATGGCATGTGGAATGTGGTTGCGGCATGGCATGTGGCATGTGGTTGCGGCATGGCATGTGGCATGTGGTTGCGGCCATGGCATGTGGCATGTGGTTGCAGCATGGCATGATTGGTTGGTGCATGGCTTACAGAATCCGGGCTCTCCGCTGTCAAGGTAAGGCAGGCGATACACGTCTGCATTGTCCAACTCGAGAGAGTAGCTGCAGGGTGTGTGAGAAAGGTAGGGGTGGCGTAGGCACAAAGAGAGAGGAATGGGAGAAGCACAGTGAGAAGTGCGGCTCTCCGCTGTAGAGGTAAGGCAGGCGATACACGTCTGCATTGTCCAACTCGAGGGAGTAGCTGCGAGTGATGGGAAGGCAGCGGCAGGTGGAAAAACAAAAACAGATGGGGAGGTGAGGCGTGAGTGGGCGAGCGAGTGAGGGAGTGAGTGTGTTTTGAGACGTCTCGAAAAGCAAAAACAGATGGGGAGGTGAGGCGTGAGTGGGCGAGCGAGTGAGGGAGTGAAGGAGTGAGCGTGTGAGGGAGTGAGAAAGTAAGCGAGGTAGTGAATGGGCGAGGACGAGAGGGATGGATGGAGGGAGGGACACATGAACAAACGGATGGATGGACGGAATGGATGAGTGATTGGTTGCATGCTTCATTCACAGCCTTTTCTCCGCTCTGCCCCCGTTTCCACGCTCCCACTCCCCCCACTCACAACCCACCCTGCACCCTTCCCGCCCTGCACCCTCCCATCCTGCACCCTTGCGCCATGCACTCACGGGCTGCCCTTCTCAATGAAGCGCTCTGCCAGCACGGCGTTCTGGCACTGGAACTCGCCCACGAAGGGCAGTCTGGGGGTGCAGGGGGACAGGGAGAAGGGGAGGGAGGTAGAGGGCGAGGAGACAGAGGGATGGCACAGAGTGTACTGTGAGGAGATTGGCAATCCCGCATGGCGTTTGGGCACTGGTACTTGCCTACGAATGCCACTCTGGGAAGTTAAAAGTTAGAGAGAGAGGGAGGGAGGGGGTGAGGAAGGAAGCAAGGAAGAGGGAGAGAGATGGCAGACAGACACGTATGAGAGGAGCGAGGCTGAGCAGCGTAGCGTTCAGGCGCGGAGCGCTGAGCACTTGATCGCACCTGGTCTGTTGAGAGCAACTGGTCTGTTGAGAGCAACTGGTCTGTTGAGAGCAACTGGTCTGTTGAGAGCACCTGGTCTGTTGAGAGCACCTGGTCTGTTGAGAGCACCTGGTCTGTTGAGAGCACCTGGTCTGTTGAGAGAACCTGAGCCCCCGTGGTCAGTTGTTAACTGAACACCTGAGCCCACCTGGTCTGTTGGGATCACCTGAGCCCACCTGGTCTGCTGGGATCACCTGAGCCCACCTGGTCTGCTGAGAGAGCCTGAGTCCATCCGGACTGTTCAGAGAGCCTGAGCGCACCTGGTCAGTTGTTAACTAAACACCTGAGCCTACCTGGTCTGGTATGAGCACCTGAGCTGCTGGAAGATATGGGGCAGGGGTGAGGAGGGGGAGAGCGGTGGGTTGAGAGCACCTGAACTACCTGGTGGGATCACCTGAGTTGCTGGAAGATCTGGGGCAGGGGCGAGGAGGGGGAGAGCGGCGTGTTGAGGATGGCGAGCCCCTTGAGGCGGCTGGCGCTCTTGAGCGCCCATGTGAGGCCGTAGCTGCCCACCAGATAGCCCTGCATGTATGCACAGTGCAGTGGGAGGGAGGAAGGCGGGCGGGGAGAGTTACAAGGCACACGGGTGAGAATCTGTTATGAGGCGGCTGCAGTTCTTGAGCGCCCATGTGAGGCCGTAGCTGCCCACCAGATAGCCCTGCAACACGCATGGGTGCGGGGAGAGGACGAGGAGACAATAGGGAGAGATTCTGTTATTGGGCGAAAAGCAACTCCTTGCTGGCAATACAATGCGGTTATGTACAACTTGTAATGAGGCAGATTCATTTTCACACACTGCAATGATGTTCATAGCAGACTCGTTATAAGGCGAAGGCACTCGCATGCGGCACAGGGGAAAAGGGTTGAGAGACAGCCTTTTATGGAAATGATTGACTCACGTGCACGACAAGATAGAAAGGCTCTGTGACGTTGAAAGCTTTTTTCTCGACTCAAAAGTCAGCTCCATGGAAGTCATTGACTCACGTGCACGACAAGATAGAATGGCTCTGTGACGTTGAGAGTCTCCAAGAGGCGGTCCATCTCTTGATGGTACGCATCCTCTGCATGGATGGGAAGGGGGGGCGAGGGAGGCGCAGAGGTGCAGGGTTCAACGCACGCGCTCAGGTGCCTGGCAGCAAGAGGGGTCCATCTCTTGGTGGTACGCGTCCTCTGCATGGAACGGGAGGGAGGGAGAGAGGGAGAGAGGGGGATAGGGTGTGGGTCAGTGCAAGGGTTCAGTCACATGTAGGAAAGCAAGAGTCAGTTCAGCGCAGAGAGGGCGGGGGTCAACTTAAGCTCTCAGTCACATGCAAGGCCGCTACACGTGGCCAAGACCATGTGGCCAAGAGTATGTGGCCAAGACCATGTGGCCAAGAGTATGTGGTCAAGACCATGTGGCCAAGAGTATGTGGTCAAGACCATGTGGCCAAGAGTATGTGGTCAAGACCATGTGGCCAAGAGTATGTGGTCAAGACCATGTGGCCAAGAGTATGTGGTCAAGACCATGTGGCCAAGAGTATGTGGTCAAGACCATGTGGCCAAGAGTATGTGGTCAAGACCATGTGGCCAAGAGTATGTGGTCAAGACCATGTGGCCAAGAGTATGTGGCCAAGACCATGTGGCCAAGAGTATGTGGTCAAGACCATGTGGTCAAGACCATGTGGTCAAGACCATGTGGTCAAGACCATGTGGTCAAGACCATGTGGTCAAGACCATGTGGTCAAGGCCATGTGGTCAAGGCCATGTGGTCAAGGCCATGTGGTCAAGGCCATGTGGTCAAGGCCATGTGGTCAAGGCCATGTGGTCAAGGCCATGTGGTCAAGGCCATGTGGTCAAGGCCATGTGGTCAAGGCCATGTGGTCAAGGCCATGTGGTCAAGGCCATGTGGTCAAGACCATGTGGTCAAGACCATGTGGTCAAGACCATGTGGTCAAGGCCATGTGGTCAAGGCCATGTGGTCAAGGCCATGTGGTCAAGGCCATGTGGTCAAGGCCATGTGGTCAAGGCCATGTGGTCAAGGCCATGTGGTCAAGGCCATGTGGTCAAGGCCATGTGGTCAAGGCCATGTGGTCAAGGCCATGTGGTCAAGGCCATGTGGTCAAGGCCATGTGGTCAAGGCCATGTGGTCAAGGCCATGTGGTCAAGGCCATGTGGTCAAGACCATGTGGTCAAGACCATGTGGTCAAGGCCATGTGGTCAAGGCCATGTGGTCAAGGCCATGTGGTCAAGGCCATGTGGTCAAGGCCATGTGGTCAAGGCCATGTGGTCAAGGCCATGTGGTCAAGGCCATGTGGTCAAGGCCATGTGGTCAAGGCCATGTGGTCAAGACCATGTGGTCAAGACCATGTGGTCAAGACCATGTGGTCAAGGCCATGTGGTCAAGGCCATGTGGTCAAGGCCATGTGGTCAAGGCCATGTGGTCAAGGCCATGTGGTCAAGGCCATGTGGTCAAGGCCATGTGGTCAAGGCCATGTGGTCAAGGCCATGTGGTCAAGGCCATGTGGTCAAGGCCATGTGGTCAAGGCCATGTGGTCAAGGCCATGTGGTCAAGGCCATGTGGTCAAGGCCATGTGGTCAAGGCCATGTGGTCAAGGCCATGTGGTCAAGGCCATGTGGTCAAGGCCATGTGGTCAAGGCCATGTGGTCAAGGCCATGTGGTCAAGGCCATGTGGTCAAGGCCATGTGGTCAAGGCCATGTGGTCAAGGCCATGTGGTCAAGGCCATGGTGTTTGATAGGCGATCTCTGAGTGAACGGGAGAAGATGGGGAGGCGGAAAGGCCAGGTGACGGGCAGGAGAGTATGCGGAAGGGTTGAGCCATGGCCAGGTTGTGAGGGGAGGGAGCAGGCGTTGGTGGGAGTAGGCCTCCTGTGGCTGGCAGGGATGGTGGGAGACGGGGGCTGTGGGTGGCGATGGCGATGGCAACGAGGAAGGAGCACGTGCTTGCAGAGCAGGCAGAAAAGCAGCGAGCACCATCCCCACCACATCCCCACCCCATCCCCACCCCATTCCCACCCCATCCCCACCCCATCCCCACCATCCCTCCGACCCCATCTCCACCATCCCCATCACTTCCACCATCCCCACTCACCAGTATAAGCGAAGTAGTACCCTGGTTGGGGCTTCTCTGAAAAGCCAAAGCCCAGCCAGTCAGGCGCAATGCCTCTGTAGCCCTTCTCCGCCATCTGCTCCGCGCAGGCATGGTGGCAGGGGAAGGGAGTGGGGGAAAGGCCAAGCCAAGGGTTGGATCTCCCTTCTTCGCATTCACACTGTGAGGGAAGTGTGTAAGCCTTTTTTGCCACCTCACTGTGGTGGCATAGAAAGTGGGGATCAATTCTCTGTTTCGTTAGCCCTTTTTTCATTACTTTTTCTCATTAGCTCTTTTCTCCACTCTGCCGTGGGACAGGATGAACCTTCACAGTGCGTGTGCATGTACGAGCAGACGAGCATGCATGTGTGTGTACGTGCATGCATGCATGCAGCACACTCGCTCACCTGCTGCATCACTTCTCGGAAGCCCCACGACTGTGCCGGTGCGCCGTGCAGGTACACCACCAGAGGATCGCCCGCGTTGCCTGATGTGCGCGGAGGAGAGAGGGGTGGAAGGGCGAGGGCAGAACGGGGTGAAGGATTCCTGCGCAGCCTACACACACTGTGCTAGTGCGCCGTGCAGGTACACCACCAGAGGGTGGCCGCCCCGACCGCTACGCTGGCAGGGCTTCATCTCATTCCATACAAGGGAAGAGGGAGAAGGAAGAGCGCACCCTTTTGCATTGCAAGAGAGACCAAAGGGCGCACGCACTTATTCCCCTGACAAAATATCGGAACTCGCCAGAGAGCATGTACGACCAATTTTTGAGGCGCCTCAACAAAGGGCGCACGCACCTACTTGGCGGACGAAGTATTGGAACTCGCCGGAGAGCATGTACGACCCCATGTGACTTTTGAGTCTTTTGAGTGGACTCAGAAGTCACCTCCTTACAAGGTGAACCAAAGGGCACACCGCACACGCACGCACCTATTTGGCGGACGAAGTATTGGAACTCGCCCGACAGCAAGTACGACCCCATGTCCTTGCCCTTGTCCTCTATCGCCTGCTCGAGGAGCCAAAAGCATGGGGTCGGGAAGGGCATGGGATGGGGTAGGCTGAGTGCAGGGTGCGGGCATGAGACGGGAAAGGGTGAGGGCAAAATCATGAGATGGCACAGAGAGATACGGCGGGCGTGAGGGTCAAGAAGGAAGAGGTACGCCAAGGGTTGGTGAAAAGGTGTATGCGCAGTGCACAGCGTTCCAAGAAGCAACAAGGGAAGAGGAGAAAGGAGAGGAGGAGCACAGACAGAATGCCACATATTCATCCCCACACATAGTGGAGCGTTCATTTGAGGCACAGTTCTATCCTCCATTCCGGATTTTTTCGCCCATCCCGCCCTGTCCCTGCTCCTTCCGCCACTCTCTGTCCCGCCAGGGCCTTTCACTAAAGCGCTGTTTCCTCTGAGCCTCCACGACCACCCACTCTCAAATCCTCTCATCCACCCGCTCACTCCCTTCGTCTCCCCTCGACCCTTCTTCCCACGTGTCCCATCCCTTCCCGCCAATGCGCCCGCCCAAATCTCTCCCCCACCCAATGCGCCCAACCCAGGCCCCCCCTCACTAACTGCGCCCCACCCCGGCCTTCCACTGAAACGCCTCAACGTATTCCTCCGACCCTCCCGCCCGCCCCTTCTCCGCCTCGCCTCCAGCGCCCTGGACGGGCGGCAGAGGGGCGGGAGTGTCGAAATCGGGAAAGGTCGGAAAGACTAAGTCCGAGTCGCAAGCTATTCAACAAGTGCTAGCTGCGTACGTGTTCTCCCTTACATACGTTCCTTTGCCTGCCAGGTTGAGAAGCCTCTCAGGTTGAGAAGCCTCTCCGCATCAGTCGCCAACCGCGCTCGACCAGGCGACACTAATCATCACGGTGATCTGGCTGACCGGCTGCACACGTTGTCGTTCACACCACTATAATCTGTCGCACGCTGGCGCACGTACGAAATGTAATCCGTCGCCCACTTTCGCACATTGTCGCACAGCGTCACGCGCACGCACCGATATCATCTGGCCGACGTTGCCGTCCATGGCGGGCGCGTTCTTGAGCTGGATGGCGGAGCGGCTCGACGGGTTGTCCGTCACGAACTCGAAGATGCCCTTGGCGCGCTCCCCCTGCGGCTCCCCCACGCGTGGCTTCTCCGCGCCGCTGCTCTCCGCATCGCCTGCCGCCGCGCGCACGACGGGGAGGCGGAGGGAGACGGGTCCCTGATCGGGAACAGCGGCGGGAGGGGGGTTGGGCGTACCTGAAATATGAGGGTACTTATACAGTGTACGTTTTTTTTTGGAGTGACGGAAATGTCCGTTCGTGTTGTGGGAAAGCAGAAAGATAGGAATGGCAGTCTGGCATTGCCTGCCTGGTAACGCAGCAAATATTTCACGCAAAAGAGTGGCGAAATGTGCACGCATTAGAATCTATTAGTTTCGTTAGAGCACCTGTACGCGATATTGGATAAGAATTCTCACAAAAGCCCACCTTGGACGCGGAATATAGAGGAAGATTCGCGGGCAGGCGGAGCTGGCAGCTGGTTGCACGAGTCGCGAGCGCCATGGCTGAGTGTTGAAGCCGCAGATGTTGGGTCGAATGAAGACTTTGAGAATGGAGCTGCAATGTTGAAGCTATTCTGTTGCTAGCAATGCGGTTTCGAACAAGCTAGTTGTACGAAACGCGAATCTCTGGACAGAAGCGGGCTCCAGATAAAGAAAACCTTAGTTCTGCTTTATTAGTTTCCCCTAACAGTCCTCCCACTCAGCACGGGGATTGCAACCAGTGTGAGGTGCACTCACATGGCCGGCATTCCCAATGTCGTATGCTGGCAGGAGTCCAAGGACAGTGCTGATGTGTCACTAACGATACGCGGCTCACACGGTCTGACTGCCGCGTGGCTGTACAATGTGTTCGGATCAAGCGCTTCGGGCAGCCACCGATCACGTGTACGACGGTCCGTCAATCTTGGGAGGTGGTGGTTACGGCTCGGCCAGTGGAATTTGTGATCGACTCCCCCGCTGGTGGGCAGTGCAGCAGGTTGCGGGTACACCAACATAAAACCAAGAAATCAATATATGTATTGTAAAAGTTGTATATTACAAGCACTCCCCTCCTTCACATGCAGCCACTTTGCCCTCTTCCGCAGCTCCTCTTGCATCTTTCAATCCGCTAAGAACACTTGTATCAATTCCAAAGGGCTTCAAAAGCTCTTCTGGAGACGGATGGTCTGCCACTGTCACTTGTCTTAAATCATGAAGCAGCTTGCCACCTTTATCGAACACGAATGTGGCTCCCAATTGCCTGCAGCCAATGCACAGACACAATCACCAAAGCACACACCAAATTGCAATCTCACATAGACGCTCAAGAGAACAAAGCTTGAGAGAAGCATGCACATCAAAACATATCCAAAATTGTTACTAAGAACAAGTGTAGAGAAACTCACAGGCCATCTCCAGCCAGGTCGCCCTTCACATTGGCCGTGTCTCCAAGGGACTTCTTCACTGTCTTGTCAAACAGTAGCTGATACGCTACCTGAGTTGAGGGAGTGCGTGAGGAGGGGGTGGGTGGGGGGGGGAGCAAGGGAGCAAGAGGGGGATGAAGCTCCGAATGATGGGAGTTCAGGCAGGGTGGTGGCACATCACGTGATGCCTTGCTCAAATGGCGGGAACTGGGAAGTTGGGAAGCACTTGGATTGGGTGGGGGGGGGAAGGGGGAAAGGCGGTTAGCACTTCCAAGGACAAAGTAGCTTCGCCATTAGCCTCTAATCCCTTTAATTTCTGAAGCTTTGCCATCTTCTACATCGGCGCATCATGGCCTTCCCCACAGCCAGGCAAGGCCACGAGTGAGCACCAAGCAGCACACACTCACGTGCTAGCAGGCACACTGTGCACAGCACGCACCTGCCAGAGAGAGATGGACTTGAGCTGCAGGGCTCGGTAGGCGCGCTTGCCATCGTCGATGTACAACTCGCCCTTCCAGTAGCCTCCATCTATGAACTCGTCCATCCCCAGATGGTCCAACCCTGTGGGGATAACAGTGAGGCAGCGAGCAGCAGGGAGGACAGCGAGCAGCAGGGAGGGCAATGCGCAGCAGTGCAGGGAGACAGGGAGCGTGTGAGTGAAACACCCTTCCAGTGGCCCCCATCCACAATCTCATCCACTAACACATGGTCCAGGTGTGTGGGAATAACAATGCAGGGAGGCAGTGATCCGCAGGGAGGGGGTGGGCAGCAGGGAGGAGCATGGGAAAGATAGGGAGAGGGAGAGAGTGGAAGGTGGAACTGAGGCCGGGAGGCGGAGAGAGTGGGTCAGAAGCAGGGATTGGGGCCACGGCCCATGGGCGGAAGATAAACTAGCGAGTGGCTGTCCGTTCAACCCTCCAAACCTCCCTCCATCTCACCCTACCACCCTCCCACCCTCCGATCCTCCTTCCCTCCATCCCACCACCCTCTAACCCTCCGAAGCTGCCACTCTTCACCCACTCACCCAAACACCATCCCACCCTCCCATCCCACCGCACTCTCCCAACCCACCCTCCCGTGGCACCCACCGATGGCAGCGACATGCACGCCCGCACTGAGGAGGTGGGGGATGGCTTGCCAGATGTCCATGGCACCCCACGAGCAGCTGGCCACGTGCTACCTGCTAACCACCATGCACACCCAACACCTGATGGCACCCTCCCATGGCACCCTCCCATGGCACCCTCCCATGGCACCCTCCCATGGCACCCTCCCATGGCACCCTCCCATGGCACCCTCCCATGGCACCCTCCCATGGCACCCTCCCATGGCACCCTCCCATGGCACCCTCCCATGGCACCCTCCCATGGCACCCTCTCCTGGCACCCTCTCCTGGCACCCTCCCATCCCATCACATCCCACCAACCAATGGCAATAACTCGCACGCTCGCATTCTGGAGGTGGGGAATGGCGTGTGACATGTCCCTGGCACCTCCTTTTGAGACGTCTCAAATGGCGTGTGACATGTCCCTGGCACGCCCGCACAACGACCCGCACGCCCGCGTTGAGCAGGTGGGGGATGGCGCGAGACTTGTCCATGGCTCCCCACTTATGGCACCCTCCCACCCGCTAACCACCCGCCCACGAGGCACTCACCGATGGCAACGACTCGCACGCCCGCGTTGTGCAGGTGGGGGATGGCGCGAGACATGTCCATGGCTCCCCCCCTGCAGATGCGGCAGCCAAAGCGGCGGAGAAAATGAATCACTACGGGCTGGGGGCGAAGAAAAAAAGGCGGAAAGGGGAGGGAATGGGGGAGCGGGAAGGAAGGAATAGGAAGGGGAGGAAAAGCGGGAAATTCGAGGGGGAAGGCACGGATTCGAGGGGATGGGAAGGGATGAGGGCAATGCAGGATGAAATAGGTTGAGAGACGAATGAGGAAGGATGCTCGAACAGACAACGGATTTGTCGTAAAAAAATGTAATTATGGAGTATGCAGGAGAGGAGAGTCTAGTGTTACGGACGAAATAGAAATCAGATTGTTGCAACGAACCGGACAATAACGCACTCAACCGGCGGGGCAGCCATTTCTCACCTGCGACTCCCAGAAGGACCCTATTTTCACCACCTCGTCGTTTCCAGGCCCCACTATACGCTCAACCGAGACGTCCTTTAACGCAAACGCGATCGCCGTTGAACCTGCTTCTTGCGTGCCAGCTACGGGATTCGACATGGTGGGACCCGCCGCGCAGGTTCCAGAATTTCCGGTGTTGGAGTGGCTGTCGGAATCTACTAGATTCTCAAGATCGGATTGGCTGTCAGGATCTTGACCAGCCGCGGCAGCCGTGTTTCCGCTGTCGGCGAGCCCGCAGTCCGCGCCGCCTTGGAGCGACGTTCCCTCGACAGTCGCAGAACGAACGGCGAGTAGTAACAAGAGGCAGTGAACAAGGAGCGCGCGGAGAAGGAACGTAGGGATGGGATGGAGTGGCGAGCGCGTCGTTCGCGCGAGTGGGAGAGGAATATGGAGTGTTTTCATGGAAATCGTTTCTGAGAATCCTCAAATGTGGAGCTTCGAGGCCACGGTTGATGGGTGAGGGGACGAGCAAAGGGGATCAAGTCGCGCTGTTGGTCGTTAGCGTTGAAAAGAAACAAATGAACGGACAGGCAACGCCCCTCTTCTGGTGTCGTGTCCTTCGCTGGCTAGCATTCCCCCAGCGCTCGCGCTGCGTGTTGTTGTTCGCAAGGTGCTGCGTGGCAGGCCTGTCTGTGGACAACATGGCAGCGAGCCCTTGCAAGACGGAGCTGTTCGCGATAAAACGACTTCGTTATGCAGTTCGATTGGCCCAAGATCCAATTTGGCGGTAGATCTACAAGAACGCTAATTCCTAGTTCAAAAGAATGTTTTGAAACATATTTAACTGAATCAAGATACCACTACAGCTTCGTACTGCTGACTCGTATAACATTTACGCAACCTACAAGGCACAAGCAAGACGGAACTAAGACCTACTTCGAAGACCTGACCCTAGGAGATGGAGTTCTACAGGGAAGAGTAAATCACTTAGGACTCTGCTGGCTTCTCCTCATCCTTCTTGACAGCCAGCTTCTCAAGCTCCTCAGCTGTTTTCTCCGCCTCCTTGGCCACCTCCTTGGCTGCATCTGTGGTGCCCAGAATTGCTGCCATCTTCTCCTGTGCCTCCTCAAATGCACTCTTGAACTTTTGAGCACCTGGGCAGAAACCAAGGGTAGATGAAAACAAACAAAAGGAGATGAGCATTGTAACCGGGGGTGGGGGTGAGGGAAAGGATGAGGTCTAAACAAGGACGAGTGTGCAAGTAGAAGAGATAACTGAAAGGATTGCATGATGCGTGAACACTGGAGAAATTGGCGATAAAATCAGAGATAAATGCAACAGGTTTGTCACCGTAGTTGAAAAGCGGGCAAAAAAAAAAAAAAACGCGAATCCAGGTAATGACGAGCTAGTACTCACTTTCTGGCGAGCCGAACCGCATGGTGAAAAGCTCCTTCTTCAGCTCTCCGTCAGCAAAGTCTTGTGCGTGCCACACCCATGACTTGTCACTCCCTGCATGCTCCTGAAGCGACATCGACGGTAGCACTGCAGGCAAATGAAAGCACGATACACGGGGGAATGAGTTGAGAATGGTTTTAGACAAGCCGGTTTTCTCTTGAACACGCAGAAAGCCAGGAGTGAGAGGCTATTCCTAAAATAGGATATCAATAAGCGACCAAAAAGAACAACGCTAACCACGTTCCAGCATAGAAGCGGTATTCTTGTGGATTGAGCGCTGGGCAATGAATTCGTGAAAACAAGGACACATGAATGTAACGATGATTGTGCGCATCCGGTCGGGTTGCCCTACCTGTGTGGTTGGCGCAAATCTTCAGCGTTTTCTGCTGTCGCATCAGCAGTCGAACCTTCTTGGTATCCTTGTGCTCCAGAAGCTTTACTTGGCCCACACCCCTCTCTTTCCATTGGTTCCCGTCCTTATCAAACCGGTAAAGCTTGGATTTGCTGGAAAACATAGATATGTCACGTCAAACAGAAAAGACGGTTCATGATGCTCCTCTCAGAGACTGCGGGAGCTTGAAAGATAGTACGGATCTCGGGCATGTAAACGGCGTACGGAACCTGATCTCAGGTATGTAAAATGGGGGTGTGGCAATTAGGGTTGTCACGGGTTCAGTAAAACACAGGTAACTATTAGCTCGATCAAATCAGTGTCGTAGATATCCAACTAACTATACTGTCGTGCTACAGCACAGTGTTCAATTCCGGTGCTCAAAATGAGCATGTATCGTTAGGTGATGTAAGGACCTCTAGGGTTGTGAACAGCTTACATCTCAAAGAGGACGTTCTCATTCTCTTCACCGGTCGACACGGTAACCTCCTCCAATTTCACAATGGGAGCGATGTGCGCTCCCGTGTCCTCGTCATCGGCCTTGGGAGCATCGTCATCCTCCTCCTGGTGAGCGGGATTTTCGATCTTCTCCTCCTCCGCAGACATGTTCACGGTCTAAAGGCGACGCGAAGTAATCTAGGCACAAGGAGAGACGATTCACTGCAATTGACCAGGCCGAAAAAAATCCTGCTCAACTGCAATATTCTGGGAGCAGATTGATCTTGGCTTGGATCATGGAATGGTCGAATTTGCTGTGTTATGGTTCTCCACTGGAGTTGTTTTTGGGTGGGGTCACTGCAGTGCGAGGGATGGGGTGGTTGAGGAGGAAGGCTGGGGGTGGCGGGTTGGGGGGGTTGGGTTGGAGGTGGATGGCGGATGCTTGGAAAGCTATGGGGGTTTGGATGGTGGGCACGGGTGGAAGATTCGATGACCATGTAAAAGATGGATGAATGGTTATGGGAGGCTGGGGGGCATCGAGATGTTTGCTCGGCGCGCGCCGCGTGACAGACGCCTGTCAGAGTCGGCATGGGCTTTAGCGAACCCCAAAAGTTCGTACGTCTCTACTCATGAAGGGTTGTGTTGTTGGCTTTTCTGTTTGTTGAAATAATGGGGTTCTGTTCGGAAACCCTTACTGCAGCTGTTGAACAATTTTGAGTTTCTCTATAGCGATGCAACCAGGTCAGCAATTGTTAGCATCCTGGACCACCTGAAATATCATACTCACCACGCGCGAAGTGATTGCGTCTGTACGCTTTTCACATCTGCCCGTTTAAGTAGTACCCAATCAAACCTCAAGATCTCCTCATTCACTGCCCGCTCTGTCGGCAGAGCCAATGGGAAGCGATGCAGCAGGACCTCCACTCTCGCCAAGCATTCCTCGATTTGACTCGACTCGACTCGACTCGACGACCCTGACAACCACCCTCGAGAGTTGCCCGCAAGGGGGCCATCCTAGCAGCAGCAGAAATGGCAGGAGCACCAGCAGCTTTCACATCGCGGCCTTGTTTTCCACTACATTTGGCTGCCATGAAGACATGTCAGAATGCAATGCTTTCTTGTAGGGTAGGAACGCCAGTCCACTAGTGTTGCAGGGCCAAGGTACTTCTCTTAGGTTATGTCAATTAGCTACAAGAACGTTCTTCGGGCCATATTGTCCCTTCTTCCGTTCGGCTTGCCTTAGCGCACGGAGCATGTTAGCCTTTCATTCAGGATCGTTCACTGTTTCTGTGCGCTAATGCCGTCCGTTCCTACAACGACAGCACCTTTTTATTGATTCATAATTCCCGCTGGAAGCATCCGCTCATTCCAAGATTCTGTTTGCTCAAACTAGCGGTTCATCCCATCTGTTTTTTCCATCCAATAATCTCCCCAGCACCGTCTCTGATTACCAAGGGGATAGAGTTAATCTAACATACAGTTTGCAACAAAGTAGCGTTTCCTCCCATCAACTTTCCCATCCAGTCATGTTCCTAGCACCGTCTCTGATTAACATTTTACACAGCACATAGCGTTTTTCTAAGATTCTAGAGGTTCTTCCCACCAAAATTTCCTATCCTGTCAACTCCCTAGCACCGTCTCTGATTACCTCTCTAAATAGCGCATAGTTTAATTCTAACATTCTGTTTGCTACAGACTAGCGGTTCCTCCCATCAACTTCCCCATCCAGTCAACTCTTAGTACCATCTGTGATTTTGATTATTCCTAACGCGTAGAATTCTTACTAACAACGTGACAACGATGCCGTCGAAGGGGAATTCATTCACGGAGTACAGTGAGAAGCCGGGCTCGCGGCGGCCCGGCTTGCTGAAGAACCAGCTGCGGCTGGTGCGGCGAGTGATGCCGGACGGCAAGGCGCGCAAGGAGATAGCTCCGGTGGAGGAGCAGCTGTCGTTCGAGAAGGGCTTCTTCCTCTTCATCCGCGCCGTGCAGCTCCTCACACAGGTGGGACTGGCCGCCGCTTCTTCTTTTTAGTTAAGTCTATCCAGATAGATATCTTTCTGCTTGAGATTACCAACTCTCGCGTTTGTGTAGCATGTGGCATCTGATTGGATAGCTCTCTCCGAGAGAGTCACTTTCCGTTGCAATGGCTGTTGCCTCTCAGTGGCTGTCGAATGACTGCGCGACAATGCCTGTGTGTTAGTTCGCTTCAATGCCTGTTGAATGCCTATGTATCGTTGACAGTCCAGTTTTAATCACTTCCTTCATTCGCCTTTAAGTACGAACCAGTTCCGTCCCACTTTTCCGCCGTTTGACGCTGTGCCCCCTCGCGCATGACCGGGCGCGGAGCGCAGAACAACGCAGGCGTGATTCTGGTGGGGCTGGCGGGGCCGTCGGGCGCGGGGAAGACGGCGTTCACGCACAAGGTGGCGGGCTTCATGCCCTCCATCGCCGTGCTCTCCATGGACCACTATAACGTCGCCTCGCGCGTCATCGACGGCAATTTTGACGGTCAGTCAGTCAGTCACCCTCTCGCGTGATTATTGAACCTTGGCACTAAACGCCGTCGTCATCATGGGCGATTACGACGGCTCCTCGGGCGTCGTGGCATTTTCAACGGTCGGTTGTCCTCTCTTGGTCTCAGCTTTCCGAATTTCGTTTGGTTGTCTGAGTTTTGTAGTGCAACGGGGAAACATGAATCATGCTGCATTTTTTAGAACAACTGCCAAGTGATTCAGTGCAGTATGTTCCAGGGCTCCCTATCACATGTGGAGCATGTGTGCGAAATGCTTTTACCTTCTTGTGTCGAACCGCATAAAAATGCATACAACCGCATCGAACCACGCTATCAGATCCGCGCATCACGGACTACGAGCTGCTGCTGGAGAACATCGAGGGGCTGAGGCGAGGCGAGGCGGTGCAGGTGCCCATCTACGACTTCAAATCCAGCCAGCGCGTCGGCTTCAGGTGCGCGCGCCCTCGCCTCGTTTATGTTGCAGCGGGTCCAGTCCAACGACGTGCCAAGTCTCACGTACGTGTTCTCATGTTGTCAGGATTGATGCGCGTGCAAATCTGCCTCATCAAGATCGAAAAAAGATGCATCACTTCACGTTTCTTGGCTCCCCAACTCCAGGCAGTCCCCAAGTCGCGCGTCGTCATTCTAGAGGGCATTCACGCGCTCAACGAGCGGTCTGGACGTGCAAGTCCAGCAAGTCCAGCAAGTCCAGCCCGTCCACAACGAGTCACGCGCCTGTCAATCCACGCCCCCTCCTTCACATCCTTGTCATCTCCCTCGTCTCTCTGCAGGGAGCAAGCAGTCCCCAAGTCGCGTGTGATCATCCTGGAGGGCATTCACGCCCTCAACGAGCGGGTGAGGCCGCTGCTGGACCTGCGAGTGGCCATCACGGGCGGGGTGCACTTTGACCTCGTCAAACGCGTGCTGCGCGATATCGACCGGTCGGGGCAGGCGCCTGAAAGCATCATTCAACAAATTTCCGAGACGGTGGGTCAGTGGTGCAAAGGGTAGCGGGGGAGGGGGAGAGTGGGGCAGGGTGGCCACGCGCCTGAGAGTATTATTCAGCAAAAATTAAAGAATGTGGATCGGCGGGGCGGAGGGGCACTGCTGCTGGACCTGCGGGTGACGATCACGGGCGGCGTGCACTTTGACCTCGTCAAACGCGTGCTGCGCGATATTGACTGCTCGGGGCAGGCGCCTGAGAGCATCATCCAGCAGATCTCGGAAACGGTCAGTCGGGATTGCGGGTAGAGGGGGGGAAGAGGAGGATGGGAAGGGCAACCTTCCAAGGCTACGTCTCGAGTCGCGTTTGCCTATTGCGTCTGCCAATCGGAATGCATCAACTCGTTGATGCACAACACGTTATTGACCCGTTGCACAATGCACAAGGTATTTCTGTCATTTTCACATGCCGCTACCTTGATTGCCCACCCCGCATGCTCACAGGTGTACCCGATATACAAGGCGTTCATAGAGCCGGAGCTGAAGACAGCACACATTTGCCTGCTTCTCCCATGTGCCGCCCTGCATGCATTCCCTGCATGCCCCGCATCCCCCCCCCAGGTGTACCCGATGTACAAGGCGTTCATAGAGCCGGAGCTCAAGACGGCGCACATCCGCATGGTGAACAACTTCAACCCCTTCTCCGGCTTCCAGGACGCCACCTACCTCCTCAAGGTCACCCCTCCAGACCACACCTTCTCCGGCCCTGCTTGCCCTGCCCTGCCCTGCCCTGCCCTGCCCTGCCCTGCCCTGCCCTGCCCTGCCCTGCCCTGCCCTGCCCTGCCCTGACCTGCCCTGCCCTGCCCTGCCCTGCCCTGCCCTGCCCTGCCCTGCCCTGCCCTGCCCTGCCCTGCCCTGCCCTGCCCTGACCTGCCCTGCCCTGCCCTGCCCTGCCCTGCCCGCCCCGCCCCGCCCCGCCCCGCCCCGCTCCGCCCCGCCCCGCCCCGCCCCGCCCCGCCCCGCCCTGCCCCGCCCTGCCCTGCCCTGCCCTGTTCCGCCCCGCCCCGCCCCGCCCCGCCCTGCCCTGCCCTGCTCTGCCCTGCCTTGCGGGCCGTTGGTCCGCCTTGCAGCTATTCACGTGTACATCTAATGATTCGTGTGTCCCACACACATACATGGAACATTCCCATCATTCACATCTATCGAGATTTTTCTTGATGAAGAAGCAAGCCTGTGATGTGCAATCCGTGTGACTGCCGCTGGACTGGCCTGCACCATTGCTGAGCCCTCCTGATGCCGCTCCAAGCCCACACCCATGCTCTTTTCCACCCATGCTTGTCCCCTGTGTTCCTATTCCCTTCTCACAAGGCTTATTCCTTCCATTCTTTCTCTCCTCCCCCGTACTCCCCACGTTCCCCTCTTTTTCTTCCCCCCTGGCTTTTGAATGGGAGCGTGCAGTCGCGAGCAGAGGGCGAGGGGTGGGAGGAGCGGGTGAGAGCGGTGCTGGCAGGGGGGCATGCAAGGGAGGAGGTGGAGACGTACGAGATCTACCTGCTGCCGCCCGGAGAGGACAAGGACACGTGCCAGTCATACCTGCGCATGCGCAACCGCGATGGGCGCTACTCGCTCATGTTTGAGGTGCGTGTTGGGAATGAGGAATGCTGAGCGGTAGGTAGGATAGAAGCAGATGTTGCGTGTGTTACACGTTATTATGTGATTGTGTCTAAGTTGACGTGTCGAGATGGCCGAGTTGGTCTAAGGCGCTGGATTAAGGTTCCAGTCCGAAAGGGCGTGGGTTCAAATCCCACTCTCGACAAATTTTGACTATATTTGCTTATGTGTTTTGAGGTTACACCACTCTCATTAAGGAGGTTGTTTGCAACCATGAAGAATGAATTACTCTTTTGTATCAGTTATCGCTTGGCGGTCCATTCTTGTGACCACATCATCCCTTCCCAAACCTCACTTTTCAAACAGTCTCTTGCAGATGCCACTCCCCTAACCCTGTCCGTCACTCTTTTTGCAGCCATATCACAGTGCGAGAGGACATGCCCTGCATGCTCACCCCCTGGCATCATAGTCACCCAATGTCAGCGTCTGTGTGCATATGCATACCTCGATATCTGCTTCCCCACCCGTCTAGATCCCCCACTCAGCCCACCTCCCCATCCGCTCCTTCCGTCTCTCTCCTCCTCCCTCCTTGACGATGCTAGGGTGCTCGTCTGCTGCCAGTTTCAATCAATCCCTGACCAAGGTGACTTGTGTGTCGACTCAAAAGCCACCTCCCTGTCCGCTCCTTCCGTCTCTCTCCTCCCTCCTAGAAGATGCAAGACTGCTCATCGGCTGCCAGATTCAACCCCCGACCGCTTCCCCTCCTGTCCCCTCATATTGCTCCCCCACTTCATCTCTCCCCGCTCCACGTCTCACTGGCAGGAGTGGGTGACGGACGGCTCTTGATAATCACACCGTGCATCATCTTCCGCGTGCCAGTGCGGATGCCATGGGTTTGGTGGCGCTGGTATACAAACTAGCACACATTGCTCACCAAACCTTCTCTTTCGCCCTCCCCCCAACGCCCCGTCCCCCCATCCCCCCTTCTCTGGCAGGAATGGGTGACGGACGGTCCTTTTGTAATCACACCGCGCATCACCTTCAGCGTGTCGGTGCGGCTGTTGGGAGGGCTGATGGCGCTGGGGTACGAGATAGCCCACATCGTTCACCGCGAGTCCATCGTGCTCAAAGAGCAGGGCGAGCAGGGGGGTCAGGGAGAGGCCAGCAGCATGCTTTCAGTCAAGATTGACAAGATTGAGCAGCTCAAAGCCACCTACGTGCAGGTGGGGAGATTGAGGGAGGGTGGGGGAGGGAGGGGAGGGTGGGGGAGGAGGGGTAGAGGGAGTGGGACAGGGCGAGGCCAGCAGCATGCTTTCAGTGAAGATCGACAAGATTGAGCAGCTCAAAGCCACCTACGTGCAGGTGGGAGGAGGGAAGAGGAGAGGGGGTAGGGGAGGGAGGTATTTCCGGAGCTGTGGCGAGAGTGAGTGTGTCTAAGCTGAATGATACTGTTTACGGTCCCAAACCTGTGTGATCTATCCACGCCAGGGTGAAGCTTGGTTGAAGCCTTTTGAGGCGCCTCAAAGTGTGTCTAAACCGAATGATGCTGCTCACCGTCCCAGACCCGGGTGATTTAACCATGGCCGGGGTGTAGCTTGTTAAATCACAGGCGAATGGTTCAAACCGGAGTGATCTAACCATGGCCGGGGTGAAGCTTGTTAAATCACGGGCGAATGGTTCAAACCGGAGTGATTTAACCATGGCCAGGGTGAAGCTTGGTTGAAGCCAAGAGGAGGTCCGAAGTGACTGGGAGTTCAAACCAGCTTCATGTTCTGTACCTGTGCAGGTGACAGGCAAGGACTGCAAGCGCGTGAAAGTGGCATGCTAAAGAGCCGCATGGTGTGCTTGTCTGTTGTGTCTGCTGGTCTCTTGCTGTTCTGTGCCGTTGCATGCAGGTGATAGGTAAGGACCACAAGCGCATGAAGATGTCAAAGAGCCACATGCTGTACTTGTCTGTTGTGTGCCTTTGCGTGCAGGTGATAGGCAAGGACCGCAAGCGTGTGAAGGAGGTGGCGGAGCAGCTGGGCATGGAGGGGGAGGGGGGGTACATCTCCCATCCTTATATCGAGGATATCAAGCTGCACCACCTCACTCAAGAGATTCAGAGCAACCAGGTAGTCATGGGTGCACTAATCGACATGCATGCAACCATGCGTGCTTATCACTCACTCTTTCATCCACGCTTGGGTTTCTTTGGCCGCCCTTCTTCCTTCCCAACGTCCATTCTTGCATCACCACGACCCACCTTCCCTCTTTTGTCTCCCATCCCCCACACTCTTTGTCAAGCCGTCCTCCTACTCCTCCAGCTTCTCAAGGCTCCTCAAGGCTCCCTTTGCAGCATGGGTGGGCAGGGCTGGGTGTGGGGTTGAAGTTGCTCACCCATGCTCCTCCAGCTCCTCAAGGCTCCCTTTGCAGCATGGGTCTGCAGCATGTGTGTGCAGCATGGGTGTGCAGCATGGGTGTGCAGCATGGGTGTGCAGCATGGGTGTGCAGCATGGGTGTGCAGCATGGGTGTGCAGCATGGGTGTGCAGCAATGGGTGTGCAGCATGGGTGTGCAGCAATGTGTGTGCAGCAATGGGTGTGCAGCATGGGTGTGCAGCATGGGTGTGCGGCATGGGTGTGCAGCAATGTGTGTGCAGCATGGGTGTGCAGCATGGGTGTGCAGCAATGGGTGTGCAGCATGGGTGTGCAGCATGTGTGTGCAGCATGGGTGTGCAGCAATGGGTGTGCAGCAATGGGTGTGCAGCATGGGTGTGCAGCATGGGTGTGCAGCATGGGTGTGCAGCAATGTGTGCATTCACGGCCCACTGTCTGTTTCCAACTCCTCTCCCCCCCACTCACCCCTTCCTCCCGACCACCCTCTCACACCTGCCTCCCATCCCCTCAGCCGTCCCCCCTCTCCTCCAACGCGCTCAAGGCTCGTCTGCGTATATCAGACGACATTCTGCCCTTCAGCCCCCCCGTGGGCCCGCGCTTTGCCTCGCCTACCTCCTCCTCCTCTGCTGCTGCTGCCTCCTCCTCCTGGTCGGCAGGCGGCCACAAGCTCGACAAGACGTGAGATGCGCGCAGGGAGGGAGGGGGATCACGGGCAGGGAGTGGGGGAGGGGCAGGGAGGGAGGTGAGGGGGTGAAATTTTCAAACATAAGTTTGATAGAAGTCATGCTCGAAAAGTGGGGAACAAGTCTAGATACAAGAGATAGTGAGAGTCCGGGGTGCATTTGTTGTCTGTTTTTGTCATCCTTCCTGTTCCCCTCCACCCTCTCCCTTCTCCTCCACACCCTATTCCCAATCCAATTTGGGCTGTTGTCGCTCCTCCTCTCTTCTTCGCTCCTTCTACAATTCGCATGTGCTGACATCTACCATCCTATCTCCCTGCCTTCCCTTCCCTCTCTACTCTCTTTACCCTCCCTACCCTCCCTACCCTCCTCACCCTCTCTACCCTCCCTACTCTCACTGCCCTCCCTGCCCTCCCTCCCTCCCTACCCTCGCTGACCACAGCAAGAGCCTAGCGTCCATGGGACAGGGAGACCCGTCTCCAGACAGGTGTGTGCCTTACCACCACCGTTGCTGGGTGTTGTTGCTGGCTTTTCGTTGCTGTGACTGATTGGGTGTGTTGCTTTTACGCCTCTTACACGTTCTCAGTCACACTGCCATGCCTGCTCCTCCTGGGTGTGTTTGATCCAACACAAAACGTCTTACTTCACACACGAATCTTGTTCTAGCCTAGTTCTTTGCCTGCAGCACGATTCATCTTTTCCATGTTCGCTGAGCCATATGAGTGCGACTTTTGAGAATTCTCAAAAGTCACCCCCCTCCTCCCCGCCGCTCTCTTCTCCCCTCATCGCGGTTGCTCTTGGTCTCGCCTTTATTTCTCACGTACCGTCCCGTCCCCCTCCACACGCACTCACAGCATGCCAGCCCCCACAGCCGCTTTAGCCAAGGCGGAGATCAGCACCATGCGCTCTGCCTGCTCCGCCACTGCCCTGGAGCTGCTCAAGCTGGATGCTAGAGGGAGCCCTGGGGAAGGGGGGGAGGGCGAGGCTGAGCAGGGGCGGCGGGCGGTGGAAGCAAGCCCTGCAGGGCGTGGTGGTGGTGGGAGGGGAACGTCTCGCACTCGTCAAGGGAGGGGTGCTGACGAGCAGCAGGAGGGGCAGCAGCAGCAGCAGCAGCAGGCGCCAGTGGTGCTGTCGGCATCGGCGGTGGCGAAAATGGTACTGTGGCTGCAGCATAGCAGCATTGCATAACTGCAGCATAGCAAAGAGCACACTGCTGTATCCCACGTACTGATCTCCCACTCTTCTCCCCTCTTCTTGCCCATCTCCTTTCAAAGCCCACCCCACCCCTCACCGCCTCGTCCTCCTGTCCATCCGCCCTATCCTTTGGTGTGCAGCTGCGCAGCAACGAGGTCGTGGAGGGCAAGCTAGTGAGCATCGCACAGCAGATGGATCGGCTGTTGTTGAGTCGACTCACAGGTCTCCTTGTTCCCCCCCTGGGCTGTTGAGTTGACCTGTAAACTCGCTTCTCCCCTCCCTTGCTCTCCACGTGTGCAGCTGCAGAGCAACAAGGACGTGGAGGGCAAGCTAGCGAGCATCGCACAGCAGATGGACCGGCTGCTGTTGAGTCGACTCGCAAGTCATTTCGTTCCCCCCCTGTGCTGTGGATTTCAACCGTGCAGCTGCAGAGCAACGAGGACGTGGAGGGCAAGCTGGCGAGCATCGCACAGCAGATGGACCGGCTGCTGCAGCGCTTGGAGCAGGTCGCGCAGGCACGCAGCTGTGGCAGCAGCAAACCACCCGCCTCCAGCCTTGCCAGTCGAGCAGAGGGGCACGGCGGGCGCACGGCTGAGGGCGGTCCACAGGGACAGCAGGGCTCCAGTGGTGGTAGCGCGGTGCAGAATGGCTTGGTGTTTGTTCCGCTGGGGCAGGATGGCGACAAGAGTGCGAGGGAGGGTGGGGGCGGAGGGAGCGGGCTACAGAGGGATGTGAATGTTGTGGCGGAGCAACAGCGGCACATGACTCGCCAGGTGAGGGGTGTTGAGACAGCAGGTGAGGGGCGGTGGTGGCAGCGTGGTAGGTTGAGAACATTCCCGTTGTGATCACCCCCACCAGACACTCATTAGCTGCAGAGGGATGTGAGTGTGGAGGCGGAGCAGCAGCGGCACATGACTCGCCAGGTGAGCATGTGGTTGGCATCCAGTAGCTGTAATGAGATATTGCAACTTTTCCTGTAAATGAACTTCATTAAACCTTACACTTCAACCCTCCCCTTGTTTCCTTTCTCTTCGTCCCCCATACTTTCCCGTGGCTCACCTGACCACCTTTGTGCAGATTCAGTCCCTATGCACGCTGCTGCAAGAGGCACAGCAGCAGCAGTCGACCCCACCACGCACCTCATACTGGCCTGCAGCCTTCTCGTTTGCCAACCTCAGCAGCTCCAGCAGCAACACCAGCTACAACAGCACCACCAGCAACAGCAGCAGCAGTGCCAGCAGCAGCACAGCAATGAGCCAGTGGGTGGGCTCGGCTCTTGTGGCGGTGGCGGTGGGGGCAGCTTCTTTTGCCGGCACTTCCATGCTGCTGGCTCGCAGGGCTGGCAGCTGACAGCCACTCTCCACTCCCACGTTTCTCATCTCTTGTTGGTCTTGTTGTGAGCACGGCACAGCATCGTGTGTTGCCATGCCACACCGCATCTCCCGTGGACCAACCACATTGTCAGCAGCACAGCAGCACCAGCAGCACCACCACCAGCACCGATAATAACAGGCGCACCGCCTAACCACCTCGAGCACCAGGGGAACCACTGGTCGCGGCAGGGGTCTAGCACACCTCTGCTTAACTCTTTTTGCCTTGGCAGTGGGGTGGGGACAAGTTTATTTGCTGGTTCATGTTAATGTAGCCTCACAGAGTTTACGGTATTGCGATAAGATGTATCAGGATGCATTTGATAACACTTTCATTGGGCTTATTATACCGTACCTGTTTTGACAACTTCTGTATCCTAGATACCTAGCCCGCTGAAATCGTACACCCATGGCCAGCTCCATGAAAGAGGGGTTTATAAAAGATGAATGGATACCTCTAGAATATCCCTGTGGATGGATGACAATTGTCTTACCAACAAGGCACAGGTCTAGCAAGAGAGGAATCCTTTTGAGGTGCCTCAAAAGCAAGAGAGGAATCCTTTTGAGGCGCCTCAAAAGCAAGAGAGGAATCCTTTTGAGGCGCCTCAAAAGCAAGAGAGGAATCCTTTTGAGGCACCTCAAAAGCAAGAGAGGAATCCTATTGAGGCGCCTCAAAAGCAAGAGAGGAATCCTTTTGAGGCGCCTCAAAAGCAAGAGAGGAATCCGCGCACAGTTTTCACATTGGATTTCGACAATTCCAATTGCATACAAACTGTACTCTGCTCTGCTCCACGCCCGCATCCTCACAATCAGAGTCCTCCTATGCCGAGGTCTTATTAGATCCATGGCTAGGGAAGTTGGCTGAGCATGCCCTCCCCTCCACCCCCCCCCCCCCCCCCCCCCCCCCCCCCCCCCCCCCCCCCCCCCCCCCCCCCCCCCCCCGCACGAGTACCGGTACCATATTTGTATTGTGAACATGTAAAGACTGATAGGAGGAGCTTGGACGAAGCAGCACTGCTGGCGGCACTCCATTGGAAGTGCTGCTGCAGCCATGCGCCTCTGAGAATGCCATATGGGGTGCGGTCAGGCTCGTAACTGCCCCTGCTCAGAGCAGGAGAGACTACTGTAAACCACCCATACCACCACCCATACCACCTCCCATGCTGTCTCCAGGCCCGCCCATCCCTCCGCCCATCCCTCCGCCCATCCCTCCGCCCATCCCTCCTCCCATCCCTCCGCCCATCCCCCCGCCCATCCCCCCGCCCATCCCTCCGCCCATCCCCCCGCCCATCCCCCCGCCCATCCCTCCGCCCATCCCTCCGCCAATCCCTCCGCCCATCCCTCTGTCAAACTATATGCCATGTCATAATAAAATGTAGGCTTTAGTGGGGTAGCTAATGTAGGGTATAGGTTTTGTTATTTGTACCCAACTTTCTCGATAGTGCAACCACCTTTCCCTTTACTCTCGACATGGTATTAAGAGCAACATAGGCCCTTAGGTTAGGACCGTTTTAGGACTGTTTTTCAGGGCCCACCAACCGTTTTCCACCGGTTACCGCGTTACCCCGCCCCTTGCTTGTACTGACCCGCGAGCGCGCAGCCAACCCGCTGCCTCATTAGCCCCATGCGACGCCCGCACAGCCCGCCCGCTGCCTCGTCAGCCCCGTGCGACGCCCGCACAGCCCGCCCGCACAGCCCGCCCGCTGCCTCGTCAGCCCCGTGCGACGCCCGCACAGCCCGCCCGCTGCCTCGTTAGCCCCGCGCACTGCCCTCCCACTGCCTTAAGCAGTGCTCGTACTGCCCTCCCACTGCCTTAACAGCCCTCGTGCTGCCTTAACAGCCCTCCCACTGCCTTAACAGCCCTTGTGCTGCCTTAGTAGCCCTTGTGCTGCCTTAGTAGCCCTCGTACTGCCCGAGCAGCCCTCGTACTGCCCTTCCTCCACCCTTACTGCTCGTGCCCTTTGCCTGCTGCCTGCTGCCTACTGCCTTTGCCTACTGCCTTTGTCTGCACAACGATTATGGCGACACTTAATGTTCTCGCGTTTGAGCCTGACGATCGCCCGATAGAGTTTACCACGAGGCCAGACGATCTCCAACTGTTTCTTCTGACTGATGCCAAAGACAGCGTTTCACTGTTCGATTACGCGTCTGGCACTTCCGTTGCTCCTGCTGACGATGCTACCGCTCTCGAACGCTCACATTGGCAGACTCGCGATGCTGCTGCACTTCTAGCTATTCGAAATCATCTGCCGATCACTGAGCGCGCGCATTTCAGCCAGCACAAAACTGCTAAGGCACTGTATGACGCTGTAGTTGCGCGCTACTCCTCCCCGGCCACTGCAGCCCTAGGTCGGCTCATGCTACCCTATCTGTTCCCAGACCTGTCCTCGTTTACCACTGCTGAGGACCTCATTTCTCACCTTCGCGCTAGTGACACTCGCTTTCGTGCCGCCCTTCCAGCCGAGTTCTGCGCCGAGACCCCCCCCCCCCCCCCCCGATGTACTTCACTCTCTATTTCCTCGTCACCCGCCTCCTTGACACTCTTAGCTCCGTCAGGGACCACTTCTTAGCCCTAGACCCTACCACTCTCACTGTCGCCAACTTCGAGAAGCACCTCCTAGCAGCAGAGAAGAACATCTTCGTTGTAGGTGCTGCTCGTGGTACTCCTCGCACTCCCCTCTTACCCCCTCCTACGCCTCCGGAGCTGCTGCTGTCGACCTCCTTGGTGCTGAGAAGGTCGCAGCTGCTTCCGCTCCTAGTGGGAAGCGCAGCGGCTCCAGGGGAGGCAGGGGTGGCAGGGGTGGCGGACGTGGCGGTGGAGGGGGCGGTGGTGGAGGTGGCGGGGGAGGTGGAGGTGGTGGGGGTGGTCGTGGGGGTGGAGGTGGTGGTGGGGGCGGTGGTGCTGCCGGGAGCGGTGGCGGTGGCGGCGGCGGTGGTGGCGGAGGGGGGAGTGGTGGTGGCGGCGGTGGTGGGGGCTTGGGTGACACCAGTGGTGGCCAGGGGCAGCAGCAGCAGCAAAAGCACCAACAACAGCACCAGCAGCAGCAGCCGCAGCAGCGTCAGCACTAGACCCCCACTTCCCAGCAGCTTCTTGACTGGTATGCCGGGCGTGGGGCGTGATGTACCTATCTTTGATCTTGACTATGTTGCTATTCTTGCTGCCATGTATGCATTGACTGTTAGTGCTGAGGGTGACTGCTACTTGTGTGTGCCGCCTGACCCCGGTATAGCCCCAAGTATAGCGCCTGCAACTCTAAGTGCTAGTGAGTCTGCTCTCCCTGGTACTGTGTCCGCACAGGCCTTGCACACCTTTATACTTGACTCTGGTGCTTCCCGCTGTTTCTTTCGCGACAGCACCATAGTCACTCCCCTCCCTGCCCCTGTCCCTGTCTCACTGGCTGACCCCTCTGGGGGCCCAGTGCTTGCACGGTCTTCCACTGTGCTTCCGTGTCCGGCGGTCCCGTCTGGTGAGCTGTCTGGTCCCCACCTCCCCTCGTTCTCTATGAACTTGGTGAGCAACGCCGTCTTTCAGGATCACTGGGTTGACACCTTTACTCCTGGAGGGCAGCGTGTGGCGATCTGCACGTGCTCTCGGACCGGCCGCCACCTGGCCACGTTCACACGTGCGCCTGGGTCCAGTCTGTACACCCTCACCACTGCGTCGCGCTCCACCCCTTTGTCTCCCCAGCTATACGCGTCTGCTCAGGTAGCTACCCAGTGTGAGTGTCGCCGCCTGTCGCACGACACTCTCCTGTGGCACCACCGCCTTGGTCACCCCTCCCTGCCTCGCCTTCATAACATGCACTCTCACTTCCTGGTCTCTGGCCTTCCCAGGTCTCTGCCTGCCCTCCCTCCCTCGCCTGCGCCGCCCTGCATTCCTTGCGTCGAGGGGCGGCAGTGCGCCGCTCCCCACTCCTCCTCGTTCCCTCCCACAGAGGCTCCACTGCAGACTCTCCACCTAGACGTGTGGGGCCCAGCCCGCATCCGTGGACAGGGCCACGAGCGGAACTTCCTGCTGGTAGTCGACGACTACACGCGTTACACCACGGTCTCCCCCTTGCATCGCAAGGCCCCTTGCAGCGCAAGGGGGAGGTCCCTGATGTTTTGATCCCTTGGATCCGCGCTGTTCGTCTCCAGCTCCGCGAGCGGTTCCACTCGGACTTTCCTGTCCGGCGTCTGCACTCCGACAGAGGTGGTGAGTTTACCTCCGACCTCTTGCGAGCCTACTGTGAGGAGCACGGCATCCGCCAGACCTTCACGCTTTCCGCCTCTCCGCAGCAAAATGGGGTTGCTGAGCGCCGCATTGGCTTTGTCATGGAGGTCGCTCATACCTCCATGATCCATGCGGCTGCCCCCCATTTTCTGTGGCCGTTTGCGGTCCGGTACGCCGCGCATCAGCTCAGCCTCTGGCCCCGTGTCTCCGTGCCAGAGACTTCGCCCACACTGAGCTGGACGGGGGAGGTTGGCGATGCGTCGCGTTTCCGAGTCTGGGGTGCCCGTGCCTTTGTCCGCGATACCACTGCGGACAAGCTCTCCCCTCGCGCCATTCCCTGCGTCTTCATTGGCTTTGTCCCTGACGCGCCTGGCTGGCAGTTTTACGACCCCGCCTCGCGCCGTGTCTTTCCGTCTCAGGGCGTCACCTTTGACGAGTCAGTCCCCTTTTACCGTCTCTTTCCCTACCGCAATGCCCCTCGCCCCCCCCCTGCCGCTCTTTCTCGCTCCACGTGCTCTTCAGGTAGACCCCCTCCCAGCGCCAGGTCCTGCTCCTTCAGGTGTTTCTTAGGTAGACCCTCCCATGCCTGCGCCTGTTGAGGTCACTGGTGACTCAGGTCCTACTGGGGGTGGTCCTGCTCGGGGTGCTGTCTCTGGGGGTGCTGAGCCTGGGGGTGCGGAGCCTGAGCGTGAGGAGCCTAAGGGTGCAAAGCCTGGGGGTGCGGAGCCTGAGCGTGAGGAGCCTGGGGGTGCTGAGTCTGGGGGTGCGGCGCCTGAGGGTACTGAGACTGCTGGTGCGCGGTCTCCTTGGAGAGGTCGCCTTCGTCCGCGTGCGCCTCTCTCCCCTCAGCAGCTGCACGAGTGGTACGCTAGCCGTCAGGGTCGCGCTGCTGGAGCTCGGGGCTCTGCAGCTGGGAGTGGTGCTAGTACTTTGTCTACAGGAGGTGCTGGAGTCGCTGGTTCCGGAGGTGCTCGTACTGGAGGTACTGGAGCTGCTGGAGCTTGAGGTGCTGAGTCTGGGGGTGCCGCTGCTGGATACCCTAGGGCTGGAGGTGCTGATTCTGGGGGTACTGCTGCTGGTGACGCTGGTACGGGAGGTGCTGGAGCTCGAGGTTCTTGAGCTGCTGGTGACGCTGGTACGGGAGGTGCTGGCGCTGGAGGTTCTGGGGCTGCTGGTGACGCTGGTACTGGAGGTGCTGGCGCTGGAGGTTCTGGAACTGCTGGTGACACTGGTACTGGAGGTGCTGGCGCTGGAGGTTCTGGAGCTGGTGGTGGTGCTGGCGCTCGAGGAGCTGGAGCTGGCGGTTCTGGAGCTCCTGGAGGTGCTGGAGCTACTGGTGTTGGTGGAGCTGCTGGTGCTGGTGGCGCTGCGCAGCCACGACTATTCTTTGCTCCACCATCTCCGTCGTCTCTGCCACCGCCTGACTCTGTGCTTTGCCAGATTCTTAGCCTCCCGTCGTCTACTAGTCTTCCGTTACAGCCTGGCTCACCGCTACCTGCTCCTTCTCCTTACACTGAGCAGCCAGGAGGTCTTGCTGAGCGTCGTGAGCCTGCGTCGCGTCCTGTCTCGCCTGTCCGCACTGGTCGTCGTGTTCCTCGTCCGCGTCCGCCAGCTGTCCCCGGCACACATCTCATGGCTCTGCATCCGTCCACTGCTCCGCAACGTGTTCCTCTACCGTCTCCTCCTGCGTCTTCTCTGCCTGTCGTTGCTGACCCTGAGTCTAACTGGTTTCGTGCTGAGCACCCTACTGTCACGCGTCTGCTAGCCACTGCTGTCACTGACCCGTCGTTTGAGTCTGCTGATGCGTCTGCCTTTGTCGCTGAGCTTGTTGATTTTGCGGCTGCTTGTCGTCTAGACTACGCCGCTAGTCTTGTTGCTGAGTCTGCATCTGTCTGTCCTCCGTCCGTCAGGGGTGAGTCTGCTCTTGGCACGGACGTCCTTGAGGACAGGCAGGAGGACCTTCAGTGTCTTGCAGCCGCTGCGCCTCATTTCGTGGCCATGCTGCTTGCCCCTGAGGGAGACCCGGATGCTCCAGACATCCCGACCCCGCGCTCTTAAGCTGAGGTGATCGCAGGTGAGTACTCCTCTCAGTGGCAGACAGCCATGGACGCAGAGATGGCATCCTGGAGGTCCAGATGGACTTACGTTG